CCCTCCACATGGCGTAGTTTGGTACTCCAAAACTCGACGTTGATTTCTCCGATGTCAAACTGCTTGCCATGTTATTAGGGAAATAATAGTAATTAATTAGCTGCCTATCGTGTGTGGGTAGGTATTATAATCAGTGATATGGTGCTTGATCAGAGTGGAGGGAGCGAAGCGAGGGGGCTTGGAGAAATGGTGGAGGGGATAACTTGGGTTGCCACAAATGCAAAATGGTTGTAATAATAATTGTTTTCCATGTTTATTAATGTTCGTGTGTATCTCGAGGGACACGAGGTCACACTATTTAAATCAAAACACTCCATCCAATTTTATCCAATTTTTATATTGAATAATTTAAATCTAACTTAATCTTCTCAAATTTATTTATAAAAATATAATTTTTATTTATATGTAAATTGTAAATTTCTTTTATCTAATTAATGAAAGATTTTTAATATATTTTTGTCAGACTTCATTAAAAACGTACCCAAAACCCTCTGCGCAGAAGTCAGGTGTCAAGCAACGAGGATCCGAAAATCAGATAGTAGAATGCAGGTGTCAGCAGATGAGCAGACGTCCGTTTTAAGCAAAACTGAGCTTTTGGAAAGTTGTGTCACACTCTCTACATGCATCTTCTTCTCCAAAACCCTGATCTTTCAAATTCTCCTCCTTCTCTCTAAAAAAGTTCTCCCTTCTCTCTACCGAAACTCACCATTTCTCTTCTCCGATCACCGTTCAGGCACCAGTTCTACTCTACCAGTGTAGAGGACGATCGTTGGAACTGATCAGTTTCGGGTTCTGGACTGGTAAGTTCATCCCTCCTCCATTCGTGTGTTTTCTGTAACATGCAAACCCAGATTCTTGGTTGCCTGAGTGATCCTATTATTTGAGCATGGTCTGGTCTTGTGTTGTTATAGTTCGTAAAACGTACCGTAGAACGTTAAGGCCTCTGTTAGAAGAGAACCCTGGTCCGTATCTGTGAACGTTCGACTACCTTAAAAGGTAAGGGAAACTTATTTAATTTAATTTGTATGTTGTTGTACCGTATGAACATTCGTTAGTTGACTGAATGACTTTGATGCATGATAGTTGATAAGATTGGATTGCATGAACGTTCGTTTATTTAATGAGTGGAAATGAAATATGGCTAAGTTATGTTATGATGTATGAAATATATGAAATCTCTATGTTTGGATGGTATGAAAATGAAAGTGGATTATAATATGAATGTATTAAGTTATGAACTATATGTTAAGAAATGAGTTGGAAAATAAATGACCCTGATATTAAATTCTCCTAAGAAAGAGTACGTTCATTACTGAACGGTCCTGACCGTTCGGTAATTCTAGTAAACTCGGCCAGAAGTGGATTCTTTCATTTGGAAAGAATCCTAATTGAGAACGAGAGTCTGCATTTCAAATCACTATGCTTGAGCGTTCGGCCAAGTATAGTTGTGTCTTGGTGTCTCATTATAAATTTAAGTGTATATATATATATATATATATATATAATATATAGATATATAATATATATATATAGATATATATATATATAAATTGGTATTTTGTAGTTATGTTATTCTAAAACACTATTCCAAATGTATCTATGTGTAATTATCCAAGCCTTTTCTTTTAAGTTTAGTAGCATTTGGTCTCATACCAGTGTTCGTCCTAACCAAGTGGTTGGTCTTACACCAGGCACTCGTTCTATCTTCTTAAGTAAACTTCCTTAATACGAGCGTCCGTTCAAGCCTCTAGGATTCGCTATTATAAGTTCCAGTCTTTGACTGGCATTGGATTCTTGGTACTAAACCAATTAAACTAAAATATTCACAAGTGTTAGGGATCTTCATGGTGAATCATTCTGTAGTATTTGTTTTGAATGCCTTGATATATCCTTATTCATTTATTCCTTCTGGAGTCTTACGTTCTTAGTCTGGTCTTTTTGATGATCAATTGAGTTTCTCAGAGTCAGTTCATTAAATTGCTCAATGTTGAACCTGACGTTCGTTCCATTGTTTTGGTGATTATATGATGGTACTAATTATCTTTCTCAAACCAAGATATAACCCCTTGGTCCTTAATCTATTCTCCAATTGAGATCTCTCGCAGTCTCGCCTCTACGTGTGTCGGTCTAGTTCTGTAGGAGTAGGTGAGGGAAGGAAGAGCCAGTTAGTTATTTGGGTAATCTTCATGAATCTTTGTACGAGGTGATTAAATGAGATGTTTATTAATGAAAGATGAAGAAAATGTAATATGAAAATGTTGTAGATATGGATGATGCGTTCCAGGGGAGGAACGACTCATGTGATGAGTATTGAATTTGTAAAGTATGTACTGTGGTTGCTAAGCTGGCTAGTTCATCTGATGTTTCCGTGGAGATACTCGTCTTCAACGAGAGAGGAGTAGGGATGTGTAGATGGAACGACAAGAGGTCTAGTCCTTAGGGGTACTTTGGACAATAGGGCTAACCTCGGGTGGAGACTGTTTGAGGGCATTCCCAGTTACTAATCATCGCAGGTGCACGAACCCTGTAGCTTACAACAGATTCATACAGTCAGTCTAGTATTAGTTTTGTATGAAACCGTTATGAATGAATATCTTGTTGATTGAGTGTTGAAATGTATGTATTATACACGAATTAAATTACATAAGCTTACCCTGTGTTTTCCTGTTCGTCTTGTTGTGTCAGTTGTATTGGTGGGAAATGATAATACGTGTCGTGTGGATGTGAGAGAAGGGGACGCGCTGTTGGAAGATACGCTGGAGAAGAAAATTTGGTTGAAGTCGAAGTCAAGACCGAACAGTAGAAGTTCGCGTTAGTGTTTAGTTTTTGTAGTGGTGTGATCGTTCGATCACCTTCCGTTTGTGTTTGGGTTAGAGAACCGATCGGTATTTGGTTTTTTTGTTAAACCGTTCGGTCAGACTTGTACTACTTAATTACTGTTATAGTTTAAATTGTCATCCTCCTTTCTGTAAGGCGTTCGGCCATAAGCGTAATTTTTTAATGGTAAGACTGAACTGAAATATTATTAATGTAATTATTCTATATATAGTTTATTACTGTATTTTGGGATGTTACAATATTTTATGTTAAAATATATATATATATATATTCTTTCAAATTATAAAATTAAATACTATTCCTAAAAATTAATTTATCAAAATAGATTTACCATCTATTATATTTATTTATATGATATAAGATAAGGTTTTTGACATATCTTCAACTATGGAAAATTAAGATAAAATAAGGTTGGATTTATTTAATTTTTTACTTGCAGTTGAATTTTATTTTTTTAATATATATCCTTTGTTGATTCTATTAATAACTATTCAGCTTTATAGAGCTCTTTAGAGCCCGATGTTCCACCCGCGGGGATCATGGTGCTCTGTCGGTTGGCAATACCGAGGAAGAATTAGAAGTCACGTTACAGCAGTTAAACAACTTTTTTTTACATGACAATACCGAAGCACTCTTTCTTATAATATATTTTCAAATGTATTTTAATTTGCACAAAATGTATTTTGTAAATGTAAAAAGTATATTGTAAAATAACTTTTTCGAAACATATAACATAGATTGCAGAATAAAAACGCTGTCATGAATAATTTTGAAATTTATTTATCTTTCATATTAAAAAAAGGTGTAGATAGTTTTTTTCACGTGTATAAAAAAAATGAGCCACAAGAACGTGGGCCGGGCCGAATCATTCAAATTGGGCTGATCCATTAACACGCATGACATGACGTGAGAGTCTCGTCAGTTAAACCACGCATTTAGCTTTTAAAGTAAAATATTATATAAAAGCATACTACCAGCATGCTTTCTTTGACCACTGCACTCAACACTTCCTTTTTCAACATTTCTTTAATCCTTTTCACAGTCCATCTATATATAATAATACTCAAATCAAATTTGGCTAATATTTTGAATTAAAACATAAGTTTATATCTCTTATAATAAAGTCAATTAATATTTTTTTAGTAAAATGTTTAACAGTATTTTATTTTGGTGGAACCGCATTAAACATATCCAATACTCATTTATAACGATACCACATTCAGATAATATAGCTCCCTCTAAATTTAGGTGAACCATGTGAGGGGCTTGTAACGAAGAGATAAAACGTCTTTAGTAGATTAATTAATTAATTAATATTTGGTTACTTATCAATTCATATAATGGTTTTAAATCTCAAATAAATTTCTAAGTCAGAGATTGTTAAAAGACTTAATAATTTTATGTGGCAAATAATATGTAAAATCTCGAAAGACGAACTATTTCCAACAATTGATAATATAATTTCCTTAAATAAAAACATATAAAATTTAAACTTATAATAATAGAAAGGACGAGTGCGTTGACATTGACTGTGTCTTTATTATTTTTTTTATAATTTCAAACATTATTTGTAAAACTTGACTGTTACATATATTGTCATAAATTCCAGCCTTATCCAGTTTGAAAATTCCCTATCCAAAAGAATCTATAGGAAAAAAATATTGTTATTAATATATTTCTATCAATTTCAATGATTATGAATTATAACAATTAATAAAAGCATAACAAGAGGACCGTTATGCTGTTGGTATTAATGTTCCTAGTCACTAATAAAAAATTAATTATTAGTTATTGATTGATATAGGAATTAGGAAGAGAGAATTGGGGAAAGAACGCATTAATTGAGGGTTTGAATTATTAGATCCTGCTGAGTCAGATTTGAGTATATCCAAAGAAGATAAAGGTGGAAGAAAAAGTAATAATCAATGTTTCTAAACCAGAAACAAAGGAGCGTCGGTTATTTGTTTATTTATTTATTTATCTATCGGTAACAAATTTCAAGTTTGCATTTTAAATAATTTAAAAATGGAACCATCCCTGTAATAAGATAACCGCGTAAAAAATATTTTAGTTGTAAATAAAAAATGGATGATAACATGAAATAAATATTGAAAATGTGGCAGGTGAAAGAAAGAAAGCGTGTTTTTGAGATTGCACACGTGTTGGAACTGTTACTAGGAGGATTGTTATGTTGTGTTATGTTGTGTTATGTTGTGTTGTGGTGATGGAGTTAGGTAAGAGCACAGCACAGGAATGTTGTTGAGCTGAGGTTGAGCTCCTTCGATTGGACAGGTCAGCTCCAACTTTAATAACAAAACCAAACCGTACCATTCGATCATTTTAACCCCTCAATTTCATTCTTCCGTCAATCTCTCTGTTCTGTTCTTTCTCTCTCTTACTCACTCTCTCAGACGCAGACACACAGCTTCTCCCTTTCAGCAACCATGGACAGGGTCATCGGCGGCAAGTTTAAGACTGGTCGGAAAATCGGAAGCGGTTCATTTGGAGAAATTTATATAGGTCACCACCACCACGTGTCTTTCTTTCTCCTTTTCGTTTTTATTTTTGAACTGGATTGAGTATGTTGGGATAATATGGGAGGCATCGTTTGTTGCTGTTTTATATATCTATATCTCTATGTGTGTATCTATGCATATGCTGATCGTTGCTTCCGTTTTTTTTTCAGCCTCAAATATGGACACCTCGGAGATTGTTGCCATCAAGATGGTAAGTCTTCTTTTATTTTTTCTGGGTTTCAGCCTCTTAATCGTCTAACTCAGATTTTGTTTGTGTTGAATATTGGGAAGAGTAGGACCTGCTAAGTCAATATTTTTATGTTTATGTAATTATTAGTTGAAACTGGGAATATAAATGTAAAATAGGTTCTTAATTTTATCGTTTGAGTCTCATTTTTATTTTTCGTGTGTGCTTCTCCAGCATGAGCGTGCTGGATGGGGATAAGTGTTGGGATATGAAAGCTTGGGTCAAATTTTTAAAACTTTTGCTTGTAGGATGTTTGCAGTTGTTTTTGCCCTTCTTTTTGTTCTAGAATCAATACCTTTGGTCTAACTGTTATTTATGGTGCCGTGTTCTGATGTTGTAGGAAAACAAGAGAACCAAACATCCACAACTATTGTATGAGGCAAAGTTATATAACATTCTTCAAGGAGGAAGTAAGTTATACGAAAGAAGCACCTCAATAATTTAAGTGCTCTCAGCACATTTTCAGAGAGTAATGCTATGTTTTTAATTCCTCTTGCTCTTTGGAGTTTAGGTGGTGTTCCATGTATGAAGTGGTGCGGTACTGATGGAGACAATAATGTTTTAGTTATTGATCTTCTGGGACGGAGTCTTGAAGACTTTTTTGTCTATTGCGGGAGGAAATTGTCATTAAAAACAGTTTTGATGTTGGCTGATCAGATGGTAACGACTCATTCATGTCTGCATTGCTTAAGTTTTCAAGGAACCTGCATTTGTTCCTTCCTGACTATTCTATTTCCATGTTTCTTGCAAATTACTGTATGAGTTTAGTTTTTAAAACTTACTTATTAGCTAATGCTTGCATCCATGGGAGTTTTCAATAGAAAATTAAGTCAGATTCGTTTACTTGACTCCAGCTGACAAGAATAGAGTACCTGCATTCCAAGGGATTTTTGCATAGAGATATCAAACCAGATAATTTTCTTATGGGTCTTGGGAAGAAATCAAATCAGGTAACATCATCAAAATACATTCTATTTCATGGCTAACTTTGGTGGATTGTTTTCCTCTCGACAGTTCCTTTTATGCTTACAAGTTCTCTTACATGTTTTCTGCAATTTGTTATATTTACAGGTTTATATTATTGATTTCGGACTAGCGAAAAGATATAGGGATCCAAACACAAATAAGCACATTCCTTACAGGTATGTTTTGTTCTTGTTAGATTTGTTTTATATTTTTTATCTTTTCATGCCATGAATTAATGTTTTCCAGGTCTAGCAGTGTCCCCTTTTATCAGGTTTTCTACTGTTAATTGATTTGATTGCTTTTCCTTCTGCCAATAAGCTTTCCCTTTGATTTTCAGCATATATGTATTAGCCTATTTTTATGATAATGTATTAACTAAAATGGTACAGTTTTTCCTGTTTCTTCATTTTAAATGTTTTACCAAAATTTTAGAGGTGGAACTGAATGATACCATTTTGTTTAAATGTCACGGTGGCTGGACGCCTAACTAAAATTAAATTAACAAGAAACCAATAAAGAACAGTATACAAAATGTTCTTTATTGAATACCATGTAAGAAATATTCTTCGATCAAAATTTTGATACTTATAATCTTGTAATCACCAAGATTTTGTAACTTGTTGAACCATTGCCTCTATCTCCATCCTTGCAGTGTATTTTTCTAAAATAGATATTGTATTTTTTTTGTTGTTCCAAAGTAATAGGACGGATATTGTTGTTTAGCAATGGGAAGCCTTCCAAACTTTTGATATGTGGGAATCTCAAATACTTATTTTTCTGAATTCTTCTGATTGATTCATTCTCAGTGTTGCTTGTGCTTTAACAGTTTTAGTTTAATTAGCAAAGATATCATTGCCTAATATTTGTTTTAATGTTGATAAACTCATCCAGAGAGAATAAAAGCTTAACAGGAACTGCTCGTTACGCAAGTTGCAACACTCACATGGGAATTGGTGAGCAGAATGAACTTTTATCTCTATAACTACAACTCATAAACCTACAAAGTGCTCACAAACTGTTTTTCATTTTGTCAGAACAAAGTCGCCGTGATGATTTGGAGTCTCTTGGCTATGTTCTAATGTACTTTTTAAGAGGAAGGTATGATTCTCCTAGTCATTGTAATTTCCTGGCATCCTCACGTAAAAAAAAAAAAATAGTGCATGTAGGGTATACCAATGGCATTGTTTTTTCTGGTAAATATATGTCTTGACTATCTGGTTCTTTCATTTCAGCCTTCCTTGGCAGGGTTTGAAAGCTGCCACCAAAAAGGAAAAATATGACAATATCTGTGACAAGAAGTTATCAACTCCTATTGAGGTATGTCCCCGTTTTTCAATTTCATCGAACAGTTGAACTCCCTGCCCCAATACAGCTTTTATTTTTCTTTTACATTGAACCTCGTACTGTGGCTCACTTTAGCAAGTGGAAATGTGGAATAGATTTTGGTTAAGGTAAGGAGAGTCCCCCCCTGCCCTTTTCTATTTCTTGTCAAGAGTGGGAGAGGAAAGGACTCTGTTGGCAAATTGAGTATGAAATGGAAATTAGAGTTATGAAAAACAGGAGGAAGCAATGACAATCCTTAAATTTTGGTTCTTCTCCTGTAGATTTTCTTATTGAAGTTTTCTGTCCTTCACAAGTTTACTTATTTCTGTTTCTGATTTCCTGATATTAGGTGCTCTGCAAGTCATTTCCTGTGGAGTTTGCTACATACTTTCATTATTGCCAATCTTTGACATTTGATCAACACCCAGATTATGGATACTTGAAGCGCCTGTTTAGTGATTTGTTCAAACGAGAAGGTAATCATATTCTTGATTTCAAATACTTTATCCGCTAGTTTGAAATATAGCCTATTGTTTCGTGAAGATGACAATGCTCATATTCGTCGATTGCTCTACATATTAAATGCAGAAGTTTGACATGTAAATGACACCATCAAGTGTTTAACCTTTCTTTCTCTTTCCTCGTCATCTGCATTTTGTGTCAGACTATCTTTATTTTGGCACAAAGTTATTCTTAAGAGTATAAAACTAATTCTTGGAGAACAGTCCTACTTCAGTCCAAAGCCATTTATCTAACTTGCATGGTCTATTGTTTCCACTCTTTATTCTTTTTCCACAAGCTTAAATTTTCAAGCTGTGCAAGTTTTATGAATTAGCTCATTTAATTCTTAATGTTTGTTATGGTTACCAATATTGGGGCTTTCAAAGTTTCATTTATCATATTCCTACTGGTTTCGTGTGTCATATGTATCTTCTTTTTTTAACAATTTTTTATTTGCTGACCTTACTGAGCAGGATATAATTCCGACTATATATATGACTGGACCATCCTCAAATATCAGCAGTCTCAACAGACAAAGAAACAAAATCAATCATCTGTTAGTACCTTCTTTGGCTATATATTGCTTGCTATAATGTATTTCCTCTTGGGTTTGGAAATTTTCATCAAAACTGCCCTAATCTCCCCCTTCCCTCTCTGTTGCGATGTTAGGAATTGTGGCCGAAAAAATAAAATAGGCCGGAAGAGGAAATAGAATACATTAGAATATTTTGAACTAAGAGCGAGGAGTTTGATATTTTATTTTATCAATCAGCAATGTTTACATTTATAGTTATTAAAAGAGCAAAAGTAGACTGACAAAGTAAGAGATATCATTCTCAACAACTAACAGACTTGCTCCTTAAGTAAAGGTGTTAGTAAGAGTAGCATCTCCATTTTTCTGCACTTATCTTAAGAAAAATAACTTAATGTTGAAATGCTTAGTTTTTCCATGAAAGTCGGCATTATAGTTGTTACATCTCTTTCTTGAATATCTTCACATGGCTTGAGTTGTTTCCTTTCAATGAAGGTGTTTTTTGTTTTTCTTGCCAAATTGGAATGCTTTTTCCGATTTGAAATTTCATCCTCAAGCATAGTGACATCTAATGACAGCCTTTTTTTCACTTAACTGCCTTAACTGAGGAAACAACTTGCTCCTCCTCCAATGAATTGTCTCTAATTGTTTGTGTTAATTTATATGTTTTTTCTAATAGTTTTCACATTAAACTTTCCTGATATTATTCTCTTATTGGAGTTTGTTTTGACAATTTGTAGTCTTCAGCTGCATTGCCTAGCAATCTAGAACCAGCAGTTGTGGAAAACCCCAAAGGTAATGAAGGATTTTTTATTATAGATATATTTTTATTCTAGAAAAACAGTATTCTACCAAGTTTATGATTTGCATGCTGAGATTTGTATTATACTGCAGATTGAATTGGAATTTAAAGTGACATTTTACGCTTATTAAAATAAAATTAAAAGAAAATAAATTATCGGTGCTTATACATAAGTGAGTTGGTTTCAATGTCTTCAAAACTAGACTGGTTATTGACTACTAGTTCAAGGTTTAATACTTCAATTACAGTGGAATATATATTAGAAAAATATTAGTTGTAATTAAATAATTGATAAAATAACATTTAAGAAATATAATATTATAACTTTATATCTCTAAAAATTAAGAATAAAACATTATTTTTAGATTCTTAACTTTCAATATGGACATAAAATTCCAAATCAAATATATCATAATACTTTGATCTAAGTTTGAGCATTACTAAACAATGTCCATTAATAATAAAATGTCTACATCTAGAAAGAAAAGGAAAATTATAAACACTTTAGTTTGGTTTTTCATTTTTCAAGAAAGATCAAAATGAAGTCATATTAAGCATGTTCATCAACCCATGGTAAACTGGTTTTGACTGATTTTCCACTTCGAATAACTTTACTCAAGGTTGGTTTAGTCTGGTTTTCAGAACATAGTTCAATTTTCATGGGACTTAGTTGTCTCGGAAAACAACTTAATAACTTTTGATATGCTATGATTGTGACCAATACTCAATGTGGATATATATTTCCCATATAACTGATTCTATTATTATTGTTGTTGCTGTTGTTATGGGATGTTGAGTGTCTTGTTTTGAACCTGGGATACGGTAGTTATGATAACGAGCTTTTGCTTACTGTAATGGTGTTGAACTAAGATAGCCTAAAAAGTTTGCCGCACACTGTCTATGCTCTTTAGATCACATCCTCATGCCTATGCTTTACATTCCCTTTTCAGGAGCCAATGATTCAACTCATGTTAATGTAACAAATATGTTGGCTAGTCTTGAACTCCCAAGTGCACGTGCGCAGCCTAAGCCATCTAATGCTCGGAATCTGGATGCCAAGATTCGGACTGAGAAACATGTATGTCACCTCAATGAAATTTCTGCCTCTGGCTTCGTTGTCTATCCTCTGTGAATTTCTTCCAGATGGTGGCGTTGCTACTTTTTTCATGTTAGGAGTTGTTAGTTCAATTATACTGATCTTTATTTTGAATTTTGTTCGGCTTAAGAAATTCACTTGACTGATAAATTTTTGCAGGGTGTGAACAATATTCCACCTAGTTCCTCTGCCTTGCCCAAATCCTCTACATGAAATGTCTCGAAACCAGAAAAGTCCACAGGAACCTCAAACCTTGGTCGTGTATTTGGGAGTAATTCTCGTGTTTCAAGCAGCTGGATTCCTTCACTACGCCGAATTTCTTCCGCCAAATAGGTAAGAAACTCACATATCTAGAATATGAACTATAACCCTGCTATATAATTAATCAAGCAATGTCATAGATGTCATGAACTTATTTGGAAATTCTATGTAATTAATCTAGTTACCGATTGCTGTAATTTTGACATTTTCTGTCATAACTAAAGAATATTTAGCTGAGACACGGACTTTGTTTCTTAGACAGGATTATGAAGGTGTGACTTGGAGCTCTTTTCACATTTGCTAATGTCATGTACTCATTTCACTCCACCAGCGGAACATTATATTAGACTGTAATGACCAGCATGATACAGTGACATAACAAGCTTCCTGGATATGACACTAATACTAAATTTATGGTTGGATTCATTGTTGCTGAGTGAGATTGGTGCCGTCATTTTTGAAGAGTTGGAATGAGAGAAAGAAAGTAAGGGAGTGTGGACGATTTTAAAGAACGAGGCATGCTGGTGGATGTCCCACACGAGGCCCCAGGGTAAATGGTTGGTAGGCCTTGAACTGTAAGAGTTTGGCGGGGTTGCATTTTTTTCTCTAATCATGATGAATCGAACATGTATGGGTGTGGGGAAGCTACAATCATTCTTATTGTACCTTTTTTATTATTTTATTGTTTCTATTCTTTTTATTTTCTTTCAAGCATTCACTGCACAGAAGTAGTTGTCATTTCTTTGTACAGTTAGTTTTGTCATCATATGAATATAACCACGTTGTACCTTAATCCCAACAAGGGAATTATTCATAAGTCAATCCCATTCATGGCTATTTGAAACTAATCAGGTCCATTTCTTTTTTCACTGAAAGGGTGTTTTATCCAATCTTTGAACTCGACCAAGTATACTTTCTAATGAACATTCATGTGGTATAGTTAGGATTATAAAAAAACAAACATTCAACATTCCAAACTAGTAAAATATAAAACCCTGCAAAATGTCGGTGCAGGGCTTTTTCAATAGAGAAATTTATAAGAAATATTTCTACTTAAGGAGTAATTGTCAATCTGAATAGTTTAAACTTCTTTTTTATGGAATGGTCCCCCGAACGATCACCAATTGATTGATATATCAGAATGACAAATTGTGGTAATATAGCTACTATATATATCTTAGTAGTAATCAGCAACACAATTAAAGAGAAGATGTAGTTAAGGGGAAAAAAGGCACCCTGTGTTGTATGCTTTAATTAACAAAGACAAAAGAGCTACGGGGAAAACCGTACCCAAAAGAATGACATTGTCTCCATGCTAAGGGAAACAGTGAAAACAGCACAGTCCTGTAAACACGATTAAACTTGTACCCTGGATCCAATTTGCAATGCTAATTTGATGTTTATCAAGTTATCAAAGTAAAGAAAAAACGTACATATGGGTCCCCTTACTCTAATTTAGAAAGTGATAGTGGTGACAAAGGAGAATCCTAGTAATGATGAACCCTGCTGCCATAAAAACAGGTCCTTAACTATTTGTGCACGAACCACTAAGAGGTGGAAATCAAAAGCAACAGCTTAAGTTGGAGACAAGAATGAGTGGCCTTTAAATCGGGTCCTTTTGTTCAGCACTAAGAATCTTTTACATTGTTTTCATTTTCCTTAATTAGAAGCACTCAGAAACAACGTCATATTTTCTTGTTAAATATCTCACTGTTGGTCATCTGTCCTATCAGCATCTTGTCCTTGCTTCTTCAATTCTCACTCATGCCATGAGATTTTTCACCACCCGTATGTTCTGAATCCCGAGTGATCGAAATGTTAAGTTTTACAAGTGAGTGTAACATTAGTTGGTTTCTAAATGAAGAAACTTCATTTCAACACGACCACTGATTTTTCTCATTCAGGCATTAGAAATTATCATGAGTATATAGAAACTTGAAACAATGACCAAAAAGACTTAAAGCTTCTTGTATTCTTACTATCAAGTTTCATTCTGATGAAAGCACCTAACTTCTTTTCAATTTCAGTGAGCCCGACGGCGTCTAACTCTAAATGCTCAGTCCATCAACTGGAAAACATAGATGAGAATGCTCCTGCAGATTGGACTGCATCATCCTGTCCCCCACCTGATACTCCAACTGAGTCTATGGAGTTCCTTGCTAGATCATGGAGTCTTTCCGCCATGGAACTCTCTAAAGCATTGCACAGCACCAACATTGCGATCTCCACCAGTATAGATATGCCACTTTCTTGCCCTTCAGGTCACCAATTTGATACCAAGAGTTCCACTGCCTCAAAGGATGTAAGAACATTGGCTGTGTTTAATTTGAAATAGTGATTTAAATTAGACCATTAACTCTTCCTTTAGCCACTTTCTTCTTAGTTGGTTATGCAGCATGCAAATAGGAATCGTGCAAATGCTATGTTACCTCTCTTAAAAGATATTCAATCTCTATGCAACACATGCTTGCAGTGGAATAAAAAGGAAAAAGGAGAGATTCTAGGGCCTCCAAAAAGGGAGTTTCAGAGGAAATAATTTTTTCATAACCTAGACCTTTCTTTTTTCTGGTCCTAGGATTCTTCATTTTAAGAAGAATCTTATACCGCTGCTTCTGTATGTAGCTTTTATAATTTAATAACTTCATATTGGTTCTAAACTTCTCATGCAAGAATTTTGTGCAGTTATCTAACTGTTGTTATCCTCCAATTTCACCCAGTGACAGTAGCGAAAAGAAGGTACATTATATTAACTTTATATGATAAAAAACATGATCATAAATGCACAAGAAACATTTTGACCCATTGTTCAGTTTCAGTTAAGAATTTGAAGCCTGTTATGTGGCCTCAGCTAGCTTTCATGACTCTGTTTTTATTGTGGTCTAAACGAACTTCACTTCACTCACAGTTATCTATCCGTACAAATTTATACAATTCAATCATCATCGAGTGAAAATGTTTTTGATTTTCTCTTGCCAACAGCTGAGAACTTTCAGTTACAAACAATCACGGGCCACATCTACAAAACCTTGTTTTTGCACTGGGAGTGAATTTTTAGTGTGTATAAATTACTAACATAGCAATATGTCGTGTACAGGATTTACTTTTACTCCATCAAGCACTCAGTACAGAATTCCTTTCCAGTCAAAACATACTCAGAAATGGGGTATGTTGCAATCAACTTAATGATTTCCTTCATCAACTATGCTCAAATACCAGATCAATCTGATATTAGTTAGTATTTGTTTCATTTATTTATTTATTGGTGCGAACTATTGCTCACCAGCTTTACAGGAGTTTGCTAAGAGGGAGAACAATGGGTAGGTGGTTGAAAGATCAAAAGGAGAGGAAAAAGCAGGAAATTAGGACCCATAACGCTCATTTGCATGCTGCGGTATCTGTGGCTGGTGTTGCTGCTGCTATTGCGGCGGTTGCAGCATCAACAGCATCACCTGAAATGCCTTATTCCAACCCAAAGACCCCTCCTCCCCTGGCTTCTGCTGCAATTGCATCTGCAGCAGCTTTAGTAGCCTCTCACTGCATTGAGATTGCAGAAGATATGGGAGCTGAACATGACCAAATCTTAACAGTAGTCAACTCCGCCATTAATGCAAAAACCAATGGAGATATTATGACTTTAACTGCCGGAGCAGCCACAGGTATCAGAATTTTAATGCTTATTTCTCTATTTCGGACCAAACTCAGCTATGCTTTTAAACAGCATCACTTGGTAGTGATATTTAAGCAGGATCCATGTATGAGGCATAAATCAAACCACTTTTACTCTTCTTGTAAATCTACATTTTCACCAAGTCATCATCTTCCATAAAATAACTAAAGCTAAAATGTAAAGAACAATAGTTATACTTAATGAGCAACATATTGGTAAAAGAAAGTGGGTGTAAAACCTGCAAGTCATGGATTCATTTCACATATATTGTCAAATATTAACACAAAGTATAGTGAACTAAATGCGTGGTTGGCAGCCTTGCGAGGAGCTGCTACGCTAAAGGCAAGGCTGCAAAAGGGGCCTGGAGCAACTGCCATTCCTCTAGTTGAAGAAAAGTGTAACGAAAGCAAAGAAGCAAACATCTTGACAGCACTGGACTATGTTTTTAAAGGAGGAGAACTTCTCAAACGTACAAGAAAAGGTATGTTAATGGCTTCATTAGAACTGGAAAGAATAAAAGAAGAATTTAAGATTTTCAAAGCAATTTACATTCTTAACATCGATAACCGTGCTATTTTAACTGTTATTAACAGGAGATCTTCACTGGAAGCAAGTTTCTTTCAATATAAATTCAAATTTGCAGGTATTGCTAGAAGAGATTTCATATATTCATTAAGAAATCATGGGCATGAGCTCCAATAATTTCTAAGTTTGATACAAGACCATAGCTGACCAGAAAATTTTACTAATTTTGGAAAACAATAGTTAATATTGGACATTGTCAATGCAAAGAAATGAACGCAGTAGCAGCTTAAAAATTATGAATAGAAGTAGAAACTAAGCATGGCTTTCTTCCTACAATCTCATCATATCAATCGATTATACATTGTTTCATGTATAAGCATATTTTAACTATAATGTTCATGAATTTCAAGGCTCCAATCAGTCAATATTTTTCTAATAATGACTCCCACTTACATATCAAGTACGAGCTCAGATATGTCTAAAAATATTCTCATGGCATGTTTAATGCAAGTTTCTCAATGCTATTTGATGGAACATTTTTTGTAAAGATGGTGGCCCAAATAATCTCTCAGCTCAAGCGATGAGACTGGTTTTATCTGATCCTCCCTAGATTCCCACAATGGTGGGAGCCTTCTGAGAAATCAGAAGTGGCACTGTGCCAATAGTGTAAATTTTGTAAAACTATTTAACTCCGAAAATCGTTTCACAGATCAAAGAGAATCATAACTATTGGTTGTGTCACTATCTCCATTTAATAGTTATTTGCACTAATACACAATGACAACAGGTTGTAGTCAAAATGAAAAGCAAACATATGGGAGGAACATTCACAAAAAAGAAGAAATGTAAGCAGTGTTTCATACATAGCTCCTACTTATTTTATGCTTGCCAGTTGCCACTCTCTGCTAACAATATTAAGGTATGGTATGTCCTACAATGGCAGATATAGTGACCGGCCTTTGCAATGATATCCCAGCATGGCCTGGAAGGGAGAGAGAAGACACCAATGAAAAGAGGGCATACTTTGGAATAAAAACAACGGACAGGACCATAGAATTTGAATGTGGAAGTAAAGGAGACAAACAGTTCTGGCTCGAGGGTATCCAGTACATGTTGAATTGCCGTGTCAAAGTAACATTATGAAAAAAAAATATATTAGGATAGACATTGGGATTGCTGTATATATGCCTTTTTTTTTTCTTTCCCTTTTCCTCTCACAGCGATTGGAGGTTACTTCTTTATAAAGGTGAAGAGCTGACAGTACTGCTCTAAGGTTTCGTTGACAAAATTATTGAGACTTGCGTGATTTCAGTGGAGATGTATGGAATCTAGAACCATGTAATTGTCACTCTAATTCCTTCAGAAAATCAACATTATCAACAAATACCTGCATAAAGCAATAAACAAACCAAGTTATAGAGACAGCGGTTTGGAAGTGCACTTAAACATGATAGGAAGGATTCCCTCAGTCCTTTATTATACACAAGAAGTCTTTCAAGGTGAGTACAGAACGATTAGTAGACAGGTTTGGATTCTAAACCATATGAATTCTATAGCACAAACCTTTCTAGTTTAGTGCTGAACAAAAATCTTTAATCTATCGCAAGTCATTCCTGTCGCAATTATACCATCTCCTTACGCATTACATATTCCACCCATCAATTCAGTAACTCTTCTGGTGAGAAGTATCTATCTCTAATTTTGTAAATTTGTTGATGACTAATCTGTGACAGAACTTGATTGTTCACTTGGAATCATCACTCCTCAACCACTTTTTTCTAAGTTCCATTTCATTCTTTGTCATTAACTCATTGAAAGTTTTTTTGAGGAAGGATTCATTGGAAAGACACAACCCAAATGAGATCTGAACCTAACTCAAGTAAAGAATTAACATAAGTTTAACCCAAAACCTTAAGACAATAGGTTTGGATTTTCTTCTCTATATGGTACTCAACTTTTTTATTTTTATTCAATGTAGAACTTAGATTCATACTTAGATAATCCAATACTTATCAACTAAACATCTATGACTTCATTAGTGGGATGTAAGCCAAGTTTATTAGTGACAAGTTTAAAGTCTCAAAGAAAGTGATAAAACACATAAGAAAACGGATAAAAAGGTGATACCAATTTCCAACCATCAGGGTCCAAACAAGCTACAATCTTGGTGTTGATACCAGACAAGGGCCCAGGTTCACGGATAATCTTCCCCCCACATAATTTGATTGCTTCTGCAGTCTTATAGACATCATTTGTGCCTATTGCAATCTGTTTAAACACAAAATGTGTTGAATTCTTACAATGCATACAGCAAATATTCGTGGAAACCATACAAACGTCGTGAAATTCCTCTTCTGAACAGAAAGAACAGAATCTACCTGAGCGTAACCATTTCCTTTATCGTAATCAGTGACGCCATAGTTATATGTTAGTTCTAGAACAGCGTTCTTATCTTCAGGACCATAGCCCAAAAAGGCTACTGTGTACTGGAAAAGAAAACACAGCAGAGAATGATCAAAACAAGCATTTCACAATAACAACAATAAAAAAATAATAATTAACATATAATAGCAAAACATGAACTAAATTTCTGAAACTTCCAGGATTTTCGTTTGAATGGAAATCATTAATGCCTACCCTTCCAAAATAGTAATCCGTTTTCAACTGGGACAGACCTATGTTCATGTTTATGATTTAGGCAGTCTAATTGTCAGATGGAATGCACAATTGTAGCTGTGTTTCAATTGAACGTGCATTGGAAAATGTGTTTTTAGTAAAAGTAAACAAAAACACTATATAGCCAGCACATCACACAGTAAGATTTCTTAGGAAAACATTATAAACATCAATAGAAGAGATTTATATCAGGAACTCAAATAGCCACGCATCTGATAAATAGCCACACTAAAAAGTTAAGTTACCTTGTCCTCAGGATTGTCCTTCTTGCGGAGAAGTTTCATTCCGACAGCCTTTGAAATGAAACAAAGACAAGGAGAAAAAAAGTTAAGTACTGGTGATGAATGAACAACCTTCACGATTAGAGTAGTAAAAACCACTCACTTTTTGGTAGAAGGCTATGGCACGATCGAGATCGCCTACTCGAAGCATCACTTGGCATAGAGGTTCAGATGTAGGTCTTCTCTCCAAAAGTTCAAACTCATAACCATCAGGATCTTCAATGAAAGCAATTACCGAACTGCCATCTCTAACAGGCCCTGGTTCCCTTGTAACCTTTCCTCCTTTTGCCTTTATTAGATCTACTCTCTTGTAAATCTACCAAGTTTCAGTAGAAAACCATAATAATCTTAATAGTCTCAGAACAAATCATAAAGCATAGATTAACACTGAGCACCAACAAATGAAGATTAAAAGTCACTATTATCAGCCCCTTAGCTGTCAAATTCGTATAAGAATTTCATTCCGTGGCGATAACAAAAGCATTTAACAACACTCCTCGACTAAATACTAAATTAATCGAAGATAAAGGAAGAATGGCAACCAAAAAAATATAAACTACAAGGAACTTGAAAATTCAAGATAACAATTGGAGATAAGTTGGTTTTCCACATTCAAGGAAAACAAAACCCAGAATGGATAAATGAAAATTAAACCGATTCTGTGTTTTGTATTGCATATGCAGTGACAGTTGTAAACAATATTGCATCATTATCTTTCACAAAAGGCTTACATCTTCAACTGCAACACCAAAATGACCAAAGCCACTTCCAATGTCATAGTTATCCACTCCATAATCTGTTGTGATCTCCATGAAATAGTAAGCACGATGAGAAGCCATTTTCTATGTGTTCAAGCATACACAATAATCACACAGAAAAAGAGTGGCAATCGAATCTGAACTCACTGTAAGTAAGTTCAACTGTAAAATTAGAATCTTCGGGCCCATATCCAAGAAAAGCATTAGAATATCTATCTTCAGGTATATCACGTTTCCTCAAAAGCTTCATGCCAAGGCATTCAGTGTAGAATCTGCATCCCAGAAATGTAATCAAATTCCACATATTTAAATTAAAGTATTAGTGAAGTATGATTTCCGAAATTCATCAAGTATAGCATACTTTATAGTCTTCTCCAAGTCCCCAACACGGTACACAACATGGAGAAATCTTCTGTTGTCATTCTTAACCCAATCAAACAAAATTTTCTCTGGCTGGACTATATTTTCCGCAGCAATAGCCTCTGCTACTTTTAACAAATCTGATCCTTTTGCACCAAACAGCTTACATTGTGGGAGAGCTGAATAACCAAATGATATAGCAGAGAACCAAGTTATAACTAATGATATAAAGAGTTTGTGAGTAGAATGGAGAAGGAAGGTAGATGTATGTATATATATGTATGTATGTACCAATAGCACCAGTGGTGACAAGGTGAAAGAGAGCAAGTCTTCGTGAAGTAGACGATGAAGTGGTAGATGGTCTCAGCATTGAAGCAGCTGGTAACATTAAGGATGATGCCATTGCTCATCAAACAATGTTCCTCTTGTAAGCAAATCAGTGTCACACTCCACCCAACGTCTATCTCTGTCTATCTTTCTATCTATCTGTAACAGTTTTAATATGCTATGTTCCTATTGGCTCTTGCTATATCCATTTTATTGGGCTAATATACATGGACCGTGACAGAGGGAATTTCTATTTGCAGCTCATGTTTTTCTTCCCAACTTCATAAATACTGAAGTCCCTACTTTGCCCTTCTGTTTAAAGTTTTTCCTGACTTGTGCAATGCAGAAACCTTTCAACTGAAACTTACAAAAATATACTATTGCAAAATCCAGAATAATAATTTGAAAATCAATTTTAACTTTCAAATTGGTTAATCTAAAAGTTAATATTGGATCTTGAAGTACATAATCCGAAACTTCATTTTTTTTTATTAAAAAACAACTTTTAAATTATATAATATGAAATAGTCGCTGCAATTTACAAACTAAGCTATTTCTGGAGCTAATGATATCTTTCTCTACTTCAATGGAGTGTTAAAAAAACTTGTGCATATTTAAAATTTTTATTATACAATTCAATTATATTTTCAAATATAAAAATATATTATTGATTTTTGGTTACACTATCTTTAAACATATTTTAAATTATGTAATACGAAATACATTTTATTTAAGTTTTTAATTGTATGATTTGATATAAATTTCTAAATTAATATAAAATGTTTCCACTCACAAATAATTTAGACCTTTTTTGGCAATTATTGATATTAAAGAAAAAAGTATTGGTATTGTTGACCTTCATCTGAGATCTGGCTTAGCTGGATGAAAAATATCTCATTAATGAATAGGTAATAACATTTTATTTAATAAATTATAGGTAGATGGTGAATATATATTAATTGGCCAGATATAGTTTCTTAAAGAAGAAGTTGAATATAAAGCTATTATTATAAAGTATTTAAAGAAAATGGTGAAAGAGCTATCAGAAATAATAAACTGCATAAAATTCCATTGACCTTAATTAATTGGTGTTATTAAAGAAAGGATTAGTTGCTTTCAAAGAAAAAAAGTGGCCATTGAAAATATAAAGATGAAGTGGGTACAGTGAGCCATGCAGTGACAAGAGAAGAGAAAGTAGAGGCATGTCACTACTGTCATCATGGCATAATATACTACTTTTATTACTAAACTACACATTTAAAAAATGCAACCTTAGCTAACGACAACCCTGTCGCACATGTCCAAAGGACACCCTAAAGTAGCCTAACCAGCCATCATGTGCAATCACAACGTTAGGCCTCATTATTAATAATAATAAAATTATATTTTGACATTTTATTAGAAATAAAAACTGGTTGACAATATTATTTTCATAATATATACATCAATGATTGGACTTGAATAATAGAAAATGTGATTAAAATACGGTGTTATTAATACATAATTCTCGCTAGCGTATAATGTTGCAGGTCAACGGGTGTTGTCCAACAGGGTTGCTGTAACAGGCCTATCTGGTTTCATATAAATAACATGACAACATTGTTTTTTTGGTTACGCCGAGTGTGAAGATTGTTTGTGGAAGAAAGGAATCATGGCGAAAATCGCTCTTGGAAGCACCAGCGAGGTCACTCAGCCAGATTGCATTCAAGCCCTCGTCGTTGAATTCATCGCCACCTTCCTCTTCGTCTTTGTTGGCGTTGCTTCTTCCATGCTCACTGGTATTTATATATGTATACTCTACTATTGTATAACACAAAGCAATAATCTTTGATACTTATATACCTATTTTTCCTTACTGTGCATCAGAGAAGCTCGGTGGGGATGCATTAGTAGGGTTGTTTGTTGTGGCCGTGGCACATGCACTGGTGGTGGCCGTCATGATCTCCGCTGCACACATCTCCGGTGGCCACCTGAACCCCGCCGTGACTATTGGTCTCCTTGCCGGCGGTCACATCACCGTGTTCCGTTCCATCCTCTATTGGATTGATCAGTTAGTCGCATCTGCGGCAGCTTCTTATCTCCTTTACTTCCTCTCTGGAGGACAGGTAATGAAGTTCAAGCTAATCGAATCTATATTTTTTATTTGTTTATTTATTTTTGTTAACGGTTTCTTTGTTTCAGACAACTCCGGTTCATACGCTGGCCGCCGGAATAGGGTACGGTCAAGGGGTAATTTGGGAGATTGTGTTGACCTTTTCTTTGCTGTTCACTGTCTACGCCACCATGGTAGATCCAAAGAAGGGACCACTTGCTGGGCTTGGCCCGACTCTTGTTGGGTTTGTCGTGGGGGCCAATATCCTCGCTGGTGGAGCTTACTCCGCCGCTTCTATGAACCCAGCGCGGTCTTTTGGGCCTGCCTTGGTTACTGGCAACTGGACCGATCATTGGGTTTACTGGGTTGGGCCTCTCGTTGGTGGTGGGCTTGCCGGTTTCATCTATGAAACTTTCTTCATTGATCGATCTCACGTTCCTCTTCCTCGTGATGAAGAATCCTAATTAGGAGGACTGTCAGCTTCGACTTTGCTTTCTTCATTCAGATTATTAAACAGTCTTTTTTTGTGTCTATTTGTATCTTTGTTTTCTTTGTGTTTTTTTTTCTAGCTCGGTTTATGAGTAATATATCTCCCAAAATAAGATCGCAATTTAGTTCACCCTGGATCTTAAATTTTATTTTAGACATATTTTTATGCTATTGCTAAAACAAATTATATAACTTATTGTTTGGTAAAAAGAGTGTTCTATACCAGAGAAAAACAAATATAATCTAATTCAAAATTAACAGTATTAAGTAAAAAAAACTAAGTGTCTAAGCATTAGACGTGTCTTATCCATGTGTCTAAGCATTAAACTTTATAAGCATTAGACATGTCTTTCTATTTATAAATATAAAGTGGTTACAAATTATTTATCATTAAAATATATAGATAATATTTCAGTTTTCTGCTTTCCCTATATGTTGAATATAAGTTAAAGATAATACCACTAGGTCACAAAGATCATAAAATATAAACTTTTTTTTATCTTTTTCTAGTATCTCGCTTTTACATATTAATAACACTCACCACAAATCTTTGCCTAATAACAAAGTTATGCCGTCGCTCTCTCCACCACTACCAATACTTCTTGCAACTCCTCAAACTTTCCCAAAAAACTTTTAATTACAAAAGTATCTTCTTTTTACTTTAATCATATTTAATTATTTTTTTTCTGAAACCTAAATCTCTACCTTCATTTTCAGTCTCTCATGGAGCTACACCCCCCAACTCTTCCAACTCTCACTTTTCCAGATCCGTTTGTTCCTACCTAAATCCCTACCTTATTTTCATTCTCTCGTTCTATTCACCTGAAAGATGATAGAACCTCCGGGTTTCACCCACACAACGCTCACAAGCCTATGTGGATCTCCGAAAAGTGCCATCTTTCATCACAAAATCCCTTTCTCCCTCTCCTCCTCCAACTAGAGCTGTCAAAACGGGTAACCCGACCTGACCTAACCCGACCCACCACGGGTTGACCACTTAGTGAGCCAACCCAACCCGACTCATTTATTAGTGAGTCGAAAAAATTTGAACCTGACCCGACCCACCACAGGTTGGTGGGTTAAATGGGTTGGCTCATTGGCTCACTTAACTTTTTTTCACCCTCTTCTTTTGAGATTCTTATAACATGTTACTTTGATGGATCAAATTGAAACAATAATAATTGGACCAGTTGATATAAAAGAAAATGAAACAAAAGAACTCTATTGTTATATATTATAAGCTATCAAGCATAAAATTTTATCAATTTAGTTTAATGAGACATAAACAACCGTTTGACCAAGAAACTACATATAGCCGTTAACAAAAATATATAGCAAAGGGAAACTTTTGGATAGACAACAGCACAACGCAGCACGAAAAGCTCTACTGTGAAGTAAAGGTTGTGTGTTTTGAATAATTAATTTAATTAATTTGATTTCAATAAAAAAAATAGGTGGATTGGTGAGCCAACCCGACTCACCACGGGTTCAACCCGGGTGAGCCGGGTTCTTAGCGAGCCAGGTCAAAATTGGCTCGCATCAAAATTTTCACATTTTTTTCTAACCCAACCCGACTCAAACCCGTGGTGAGCTGGGTTGACTCATGGGTTTCAACCCATTTTGACACACTACCTCCAATTGCTCCAAGAAATCATATCCAGTTCTCCCACAACACACGATAGTACCTGCACCCGCTCCCAGCTGCAGAAACTCAAGCCCGACCCTATCGTATGGATCATGGACTCTCACACACCTGAGTCCCTCTCCACCTTCTTCAACCTCGTCTTCACCATGCGCCTCTTCTGGCTCTGTGCGTTCCAAGCGCCCCCCGAAGTCGGCTCCCTCTACTTCCACTCCCTCCTCACTCCCACCCTAGAAACGTCATCCAATACTCTGAGGAAACATTGAGTTCATGACATCATGAAAAATAATGAATTCTATTTTATGATGGTTTTCTTCATTCTAAAGCTGATCAGAAACAACAATATAATATTTGAGGAGAGATTTGATCGATTGTAAATTAAAGAGGAAATTATAAACTTATGGGCACTTTCTTTTTTGGTACATTAGAACTGAATTTATGGATATGTGGGTTTGCATTCATCTTCATATTCTATGTATGCATATACCTGTATCTTCTAGATACTAAATTCTTGGTTCTTCAAGCTTCTCGGAGAACAAGTTTCTGTCTCAAATGAAGAAACTTATTATGACAAAGATACTATGATGTTGTGCATTTATTTGCATCTATAGATATATTAAGTGCACAAGATACAAGTTCATCCAAAAGCTGCAGAGTGCATTTAGAATCGCCTCTTAATCTGTGATGTCTGTATTCACTTTTCAGTTTCAGGATTCCTATTCATTTTCTGAGGAAATGAAGAGTTCCTAGCAAGAAATTTCCCTCTAAAATTAATCTTTTCGAATGTCCCTATAAAAGGATGTTCAAACATCGTTTAAGGGGATTCTCAAAGTCCTTCGGGAATCAAATTGATCCTCAAAAATCCGAAACACTCAAAAGAACAAAAACAGGTGTAGATCATGTATACTTATGTCTTTTTTAGACCAAAATAAGTGTTTTATCTTCATTAATATGCATTATAACAATTTCTATTGAATGAAAATGAAGGTTATCATGATGAAATTCTAATTCTGATCAAAGAACAATACCAAAAACACTTTTGGGAACTGTATTTTATTTTCGTTGTTGTTACTGACTTATTTTTCAAAAGATTAAATATTAGTATTTCAAAAGATTATATATCTTCAAGAGAACTGCAAAATTTTATGATTTCTCTTGAATCTTAGGCACTTTGCAATGTGAACTTTCATCAACTACTTTTCAATATTTATTCATCTCTTATGTTGTTGACAGGCATGGAAACCGAGCTCAGCAGAATTGCAAAGCTGATAAAAAATGAAGAGCAATGCAAAAAAGATGGGAACTCCATGAAAGAGAAAAAGCTTGTGTGGTTGGTAGAGGATTTCTACGTTCAGTCACTGTACCCATTGTACGGTGGTCTGACACTCATCAGTTCTTTACCAATTTGGAGTGTAATGCTTCACAGGATTAGGTGGAAAAAGAAAAGAGTTAGCAGGAAGCATCCACTTCTTTCAAATAAGGATCTTTTTAAACGAATGTCAACACATCGACATCTGTTTTTCCTTCAACGGATGTCAATATCCGTTCACGGATGTTGACATATGTTTAAGAATACAACGTATATTTACACTTGTTTAAATATTATTAAAAGGTAAAAAGGGAATGAGGGGTACAGAGAGCACTGTGTGGTGGTGGAGGGAGTAACGTCCCAAAGTTAGACCATGACCCGTTAACATGTTTGGACTATGGTCATTGACATCTTGGCCCAATAACCAAGTTGGACCATATCCCATTAATTTGTTCAAACTATGGCAGATGGTATCTTAGACCAATAATTAGGTCGATATTTGAATGTCAGTCTTTATACAATTAATAAGGATTTAGATAATGGATTGGATTCCTCTCTATCAAGTCGTCATACTCCTTCATTGTTAATCTGACTCACCACTAGACAATACATTTATGTTTTTTAATTAATTGATATGAACTTTCTTAGTTTTATTTATGTATAACTTAATTTTAATTTATAGAATAAACTTGTTTATATACTCATTTTTTCTCGTCTAAATCTATGATAACTAAATCCTTCTTCTGCATAACTTTCACGGCCAAGACAAACATAATCAATGACGTTGATCCTTTTCAGTGAAACTATGTCCTCAGATATCACATGCTAAAAAATATAGTTAGGAGCTACTATACCTGTAAGGGTAAGGTCAAAAATAACAATTTTTCTTTTGTAAAAGTTTTTATTACAAACACCATCAACAATTGGACTACCGAATATTGATATATTGTTTCGATTATTCAAGACACTAATTAATCTCTACATACCTTCCAATCATGAAAATATTTGAGCGTTGGTGTATTGTATAGGACTAGATATCTATTAGCCTTTTCGAATAAGGTCTATAGCCTTAAACACGATAGAACACCGAGTACCGTGGATTGGATATCACAACCCGGGTATCGGGTATCAGTTTATCCTATCCAAGAATGCATGGATAGAAAACCAAAGAATGATGCTCAGTTAACAAGTAATTAGGCCAGTGGGCTTTAAGGTTGGTGGACCCACATAAATTGTGGTCCATCCAGTTTAATCCAGGGTCAACGAGGTAAAACACCACAAATAGAGCATTAATGGTAATTTAAGAGACATTTTTGCATTAATTGAGATTTGACCAAAAAAATCTCTGAACATCAATTATTGACTTGAGCATTCAAGAACCTTTTGCAGGAATCTCCCCTCTTGTAGCTACATTTGGAGTATTGGAAGATGAATGTCGAGTAGTGAAGATGAAGACCGAGTAGTGAGGAAGACAAAATGTGAAGGTGAGATCTTTGTAAGATATATTTGATCTTGAAAGAACAATAATAATAAAGGACAAGTCTTACTCTATTGCTTTACTTTGACATGTTGAATTATTTAACATGGATTCCAACCTCATTTTTTTTTCTCCAAGTGTTTATTGACACATTTTATTACTCGTTATTATATAGTATGTCCATATGGTGGCACCAACAATCCTTGAGTACTTTAAATTCACTAAATACTATTATGATTGATTAATGTCGATAAAAAAAATAAAATGATATTAAGATAACAATCTCTATTACTTACATATATGTGATTAAAAGGCAATTAGATCCCAATTAAATTATCTAAGAGATAAAAATCTATTATAAATAATATAAATAAGAGTCCACAGTTGATTGTGTTATTCTAACATTTATTACAACGTTACCTCAATCTAAATTATCAGAAGAATATGAGAGCTTATGATTTGTAAAACTAATTATGCAAATTTTGAATAAAGTTTGTAAACAATAAATTTTCTACAAATTATTAATTTATTAAATATATTTTGCGTGGTTTGATAATACAATTTTGCTTATTCTTATATCTTAATATATATATATATATATATATATATATATATATATTACATTCTTAATTTAGATACCAGATCTAAAAGTTTTTTTTATAAACCAAATTAAGAGTGTGTTCTATCCATATAAAGACCGTA